CATCGATCCAGGGGTGGCGCCGGTGCGCCAGCCCCTGCGGAGGCTGCCCTTGGCAGTGCTGGACGAGGTGAGTGCCAGGCTCAAGGAGCTGGAGGAGCAAGGGATAATTGAAAAGGTCAGTGCATCTACCTGGGTCTCTCCTCTTGTGGTGGGAAGGAAGCGGGATAGGTCCATCCGCCTGTGTGTAGACATGAGGCGGGTCAACAAAGCTGTGATTACGGATGGCTACCCGCTCCCCAGGATCGAAGATGTCCTTGACCGCCTGAGTGGATCTCAGGTCTTTTCCAGGCTGGACTTAAAGGATGCATATCACCAGCTGGAGCTCCATCCTGACAGCAGAGACCTAACGACTTTTATAAGTCATCAGGGACTCTACCGGTTCCGGCGCGTCAACTTCGGCCTCGCGAGCGCCGGGCCGTGCTTCCAGAGAGTGATGGCGTCCATGCTGGAGGGGGTGCCAGGCGTGGAGGTATACCTGGACGACATCCTGGTCCACGCGCCGTCCCAGGCCGAGCACGACGCCCGTCTGAGGGAAGTGCTGCGGCGTTTCGATGCCCACAAGGTGCGGGTCAACTGGCCCAAGAGCGTGACGAATCAGAGCGAGCTCTCCTTTCTGGGATATCTGGTCTCGTCAGCTGGTGTCCGCATCGACCGGGAGCGGATCAGGCCGTTGTTGGAGGCGGCCGAGCCGCGGGACGAAAAGAGCCTGCGCGCATTCCTCGGTGCCGTAGGGTATCATGCGCGGTTTCTGCCACGGTTCTCGGACGCAGTAGAGCCGCTGAGGGCCGCGCTCCGGGCGGACCAGTTCGAGTGGACGGCGGCGCTGTCCAGCGCGGTCCGCCGCGTCAAGGACGCGATAAGCGAAGCACCAGCACTGTGCATGTTCAGCACGGAGCTACGAACGGTGCTCTCCACTGACGCCAGTGACGTCGGCTGCGGTGCGTGCGTGACGCAAATGGACGCCTCGGGTCAGCCCAGGGTCATTGCGTACGCCTCGAAGTCTTTCTCGGCGGCCGAACGCAACTACTCGGTAGTGGAAAAGGAGGCGCTGGCATGTGTATGGGCCGTCGAGAAGTTTCGCCACTACCTGTGGGGTCGACGATTCACCCTCCGAACCGATCACCAGGCTCTCTGCACCATTTTCGGTGTCAAGGGCTCTAACCGCGTCGGCCGGCGAGTCGCGAGGTGGGAGGCCCGGCTGCTGGAGTTTGCGTTCGACGTCGAGTACGTCAGGTTGGAGCGGAACGGAGTGGCGGACGGCCTGTCCCGTCTGCCGGTCGCCGAGACCTGGTGGCCTGAGGATGATTCTATTCAGATCGCGGCTCTGTCGTTAGCGGCAGCAGTCACGGAGGAGGAGCTGCGGGACGCCTCGGCGTCAGACGAGTGTCTGGACGTGATCCGGGGGTACCTCGCCGGACGGTGGCCTCGCCAGAGGGATGTCGATCCTCGGGCGACTGGTTTTTACCAGGTGAGAGACGAACTGTCCCAGCTCGGACCGCTGCTTTTCCGCGGCGAGCGACTGGTTGTGCCGGCGGCGCTGCGTGAGCGCGTCCTGAGGAACGCCCACGAGGGTCACCAAGGTGAGACAAGGACCAAGCAGCGCCTGCGCGCGCAGTTCTGGTGGCCGCGGCTGGACAAGGAGGTACGTGACCTCCTGCGGAGCTGTGAGGTGTGCACGCAGCATGACGGCCACGTGCGGCAGGAGCGGCCCCCTCTCCAGCCGATTCCTCTTCCGGACGGTCCGTGGCAGCGCCTCATGATCGATGTGATTGGGCCCATGCAGGGGCCCCAGCACGAGCGGTACGGCATCGTCTTGTGCGACATGTTCAGCAGGTGGCCAGAGGTGGCGCTGTGTCGGGACGCGACGGCGGCGTCTATAATCAGCTTCCTGGAGGCGGTGTTCAGCCGCGAGGGGTTGCCGTTGGAGCTGGTCTCCGACAACGGTCCAGCGTTCCGGTCTGCCCAACTCCGTGATTTTTTGACCCGACTGGGGGTCAAGCAGACTTTCAGCTCACCATACTCTCCGCAGTCCTGCGGCATGGTGGAGCGTCTGAATCGGACGGTAAAGGACGCCATCCAGTCGGCCCGGCTGACCCGGGAGCCGCGCTCGGCGTACTTGAGGCGGTTCCTCACTGAGTACCGGGCTACCCCGCACGCAGGTACGGGAGAGACGCCGTTCCGGCTGATGCGGGGGCGGGAGGCACGGACGTTGCTGGACGTCGTGCCAGGTGAGGTTTCCTCGCCGGACACCGGCAGTGAGCTTCGTGCGCGACACGAAAAGTATCAGGCGGCCTACAAAGCCAGATATGACCGGGGGTCGACCGGCGCCCCGCGCTGGCGCGTCGGCGACTGGGTTCGGGTCCGACAGCCGGTGAGCGGCCGTGTGGAGGGCCAGAGGGCCGTGCAGATCAGCCGGAGGACTGGCCCGGTAAGTTACCGGCTCACCAGCGGCGAGCGTGTCCACGCTAGACGCTTGGTGCCCGGCCGGCCAGAAGGTGAGGACGCGGCCGCGCCGCGGGGTGGTCCCGGCGGTGGTGCTAATCCAGTTCCTGAGCCCCGCCCCACGCCAGTGCGCACCCGCTCCTCGGCACTCAGAAGTCCTGCTCACAGCCGCTGTCCAACCCCAAAGTGTACCGCCCCGGCGGGTGAGCCAGGGCCCCGCCGTAGCAGGCGGGGTCGCAGAGGCCCAGATCGGTTCACTCCGTGCGAGTAGCGTTAGGGTTGGGCTATCATCGTAAGTTACGTTTGATAGCTGTGAGTGTAATGGTTCCCGCGGATAGTGGGAGGCTTAAGAAGCGGGAGTGTTTCCCATTAAAGAGAGGGGTGGTGTTGTGGCGGGAACTAATTTAGTGGCGCTGACCGCGCAGCCGATTGGCGTGGACGCGCAATTATCGTTTGAGTTTTACGCCTTTGTTGATAGTGTTGGTCGTTGCGGTGATTATGATTTGATATTACGATCGACACTTAGTTAGTAATATGTTTGGTTCGAAATGGCTTTGTTCAGTTTCGATCCTTTATTTCGCATAATCTGTTCACCCCCTCTCTTTATGATTGTCAACTGTTTTGGGTCGTAAGGACAAAGAGGTGTCGAGTCACCTCTAGAGCTTCTTCCGTTCTTGACCTTGGCCGAGATAGTGCCATGTGTTTTTCTGTTGTGTGTGTGGGGGAATAAACCGCAAGTGAGGCGGACGCAGGTTTGTCCAAACCCCCCCCCCACCCCAGGGGCACAACAGGCCCCCTCCAAAAAAAATATTGGATCCAACCAGATGGCTTTTTGGATTTTTAGGGGGTTATTTTGGGCCCCTGTGCGTTTGGCCCCCTCCTTGAGGAAATTCTGACTACGCCCCTGAACATCGGGCAACCAGAAAACTTTTTTTTTGACCTTCAAACAGCCTCCAGTTTGCTTAAGACCAGAAAGGTAGTACCGGACGTCCGGCCGGACTAGAATTTTTGCATTTGCTTCTGGGTGGGCAAATCGACGCCACTGGGTGGGCAATTGTGGTGACTGGGTGGGCATTTGCCCACCCAGTGGGTATGTTAGAGGAGGCCCTGTTCTCGACTGCCACAGCGTTGTAGAACTTGTTTCCAGACAGGTCCAGGCGCTCCCCACTCCGCAAGCCCCAGCCCACACGGCTCACCCGCCCAAACACCCTCCGGCGGATGACCTCAGATTTCGGCGACCTGACCACAGCCGACCTGACCACAGCCGACCTGACCACAGCCGACCGGACCGATCGCGTCCCTCTCCACGCCTCCGCCCCGCTTCCCCCACTACAACTGCGTAGTAATTGTAGCGTGTGCAAAGGTCACGTGACATTATTTACTTCTGCGGTTTGTTCGGCTGACAAGAGATGGCACTGTGGATCAGAGGCGGGGCTAGGTTCTACGACTTCTTGGGGCAACTTTAGGGCAGAAAAGACGTTTTTTGGCTCCTCATCCCAAAATGCTTCGAACATACAAAAACAAGTTAGATATTCGAAAATCGGAGGACCAAACCGATCGTTTGACGTATCTTGCTCCACTGAGAATTGATCGGTCTTAAAACTACTGAGCAAAAACGAGGTGATTAGTAGCAAGTGCTGGTGACTGTACCTTAACCCGCGCCCTGCTGGGGGGGGGTGTCTGAACACCCCCTTGAGGTTTTTCGCGAATATCTCAAAAACAGCGGCGCGGAGCGCCGCCGTTTTTGGTACACCTTATCATACATCAATTTTACACATGTTGTGAAAATTTCAGACCAAGGTCACTCGCCGCCGTTTTTGGTACACCTTATCATACATCAATTCTACACATGTTGTGAAAATTTCAGACCAAGGTCATTCAAGGTCAGGTCACCAGGTCACTTGAAATGACCTCACCTCATAAAAAGTTTCAATGTCTGTCAATTGTCATAGCTACACCGAGTGACCGATCGCTTTGAAACTTTCAGCGATTGCTAAGAGCAATAGCATGTACAAAATGTATATCTCAGAATTTTGCTATCAATGATCTAAGGTTAGGTCAATTTTGCGACCTCCCCATTATAAGTCAATGGGAGAAAATTGAAATGCGCCTCTTTTGGACGAAAGACATTATAAACACTCCCAAACACCGAATTACAAGTGGTTTAGACACACTGAACATGGAAATGGTGTCCGTGTCCCTTGTTTATGCCCTGAGGTCATCTTAGGTCACGAATGGTATCTAACAGTTTTTCGCAAATAACTTTTGATAGAGGCATACTAGAGCGATGAAACGCCTTAGATGTGTTCAGCTCTACGATACGGATCGAATGATATGCAACATGACCTTTTCCGGTAAGGTCATGACCTTGACCTGAGTGAAGGGATTTGGTGCAGTCGTCTGCTGTTTACGTTACGTGCCAGCCCATCTGGCAGCCCTGCTGTTGACCTCAGCGCACGTTCGTAAGGTCGCCGCTAGGTGGCTCCCGAGTGGCGCCACCTCCCACCCGCCATGTTCGGCAATACACTCCTCACTGAGACGCCGGCGTGTTCGCAACATGGCGCAGCCTGCAGGGTTGCCCGCCGGGGACCGCCCTCCAATGGCTTGGCTCGGGAGAGCCACTCAGCCTGAGCGTTTGGACTTCGAGCAAGATCGCCTGGTTTCCTTCCGCGCCTGGAAATTGAGGTGGGACGATTTCTTTTTGTTGTCTGGACTTGATCAGTGCGACAAAAATGTCCAAATGGCTGCACTTCGCTCTTGTCTCAGTGACGACGTCATTAAGATCGTGAGTCAGTTCAGCTTGACTGAGGCCGAACGTAACAACATTCATCGTGTACTGAAACTTTTGGAGGAGTATGCCAAGGGGCAGGTTAACGAAGTTTTGGAGCGAAGGAGATTTAATCAAAGAGTGCAGCAGCCGGGTGAACTGTTTGATGATTTTCTCACGAGTCTGAAGGACCTGGCAAGCAGTTGTGGATTTTGTGATGACTGTCGGGATTCGCTAATTCGTGACCGTGTTGTAGTAGGACTGCGAGACGCGGCCACCATCCAGAGGCTGTGCGCCGTCCCGAAGCTGACGCTGCAAGATGCCGTCACCACATGCAGAGCGGAGGAAGCCGCGGTGAGAGATGCTTCAGAGATCGTTGGAAGCCAGGTTAGTGCCTTCCAGGTACGTGACTCTGACGGAGGCAAGTGTGATCGGTGTGGGCGTCCCAACCACAGGAAGGGCTCAAAATGTCCAGCTCAGGGCCAGACATGCAGAGCTTGTGGGGGTAAGAACCACTTCGCTGTCACATGTATCAGACCTACGCCGCACAGGGCTAAGCCAGGCAAGAAAACCAACGTCATGTCCACAGTCATATCCAGCAACAGCACCCGTGGGCACGCACCCCGCATAGATGTCCTAGTGGAGGGTCCAAAGTTCGCCGTGGTAAACGCCCTGCCCGACACGGGAGCAGATATAACGGTCGCTGGGACAGCACTTCTGGGGGAGATCGGCGCTAACGTGTCTGATTTGAAGGCGCCACAGGACCACCCGAAGTTAGCTAACGGTCAGCCAGCACAATCGATCGGCTCGTTGCCGATTAGGATCACTCTCGATGGAGTAGCAGTTGATGATGATGTCCACATTGTTGATGGTGTGTGTGGATTGCTGCTCTCCTGGCGTGTGGTAAAGGATCTTGGCATTGTGCCAAAGTCCTACCCCAGGCCACAGAGATCTGTCATGCCGTCTGTCAAGCCACCGGTGCCCCCCAAACCTGTCGTGCCTGCCGTGCGTACGGGGCGAGCGCCCCCTGGTGGGGGATCTGACAGTGCCGTACCTCCAGCCAGGTGTGCGCTCGGAGGTGACCCGCAGTATGACGTCACCAGCGCAGCCCCCGACACCACGCAGAGCAGCAGCAGCCTGCCAGCTGACGGGACACCTGCAGTCGGAGCTTCACAACCGCGTCCGGACGCCTTCATGCAGTCTGCTGCGGCTGAGCGCCAGCGTCTGGTCGACGAGTTTCCTGAGGTATTCGACGGGAAGGTCAAGCCGCTCCCAGGTGAGAAGTTTCACATCTCTCTGACCGACGACGCTAAGCCGTTTTGCGTATCGGCGCCCAGGAGGGTCCCCTTGCCGCTCAAAGAGAAACTAAAGGCCGAGCTAGATAAACTCGAGAGTAACGGCGTGATTCAGAAAGTGACTGAGCCCACTGAATGGTGCGCGCCCATAGTTGTAACGCCCAAGAAAAACACTGAAGATGTCAGGATGTGCGTGGATCTCTCATTCTTGAACAGATATGTCCGTCGCGAGAGATATCAGCTGTCCACGCCCGCTGAGTGCGTGGCGACGATCACCCAGTCTCAGGCGGGAGTATTCACGACTATCGACGCCCTGAAAGGTTATCATCAGTGCGAGTTGGACGCTGAGAGTCAGCTGCTGACAACTTTCATAACCCCGTTCGGGCGCTATATGTTTCTGAGAGCGCCGTACGGCATCAGCAGCATATCAGAGCATTATGACCGCCGCATGTTCGAGTGTCTTGAAGGTCTCACCGGCTTTCAGCGTGTCGTCGATGATGTGATCATATATGATCGCTCCCCAGAGCAGCACTATGACCACGTTCGTCGCTTTCTACAGCGGTGCTCTGAGAGGGGCATCTCCCTCAACAAGGAGAAGTTCGTCTACGGCCAGCGACAGATCCGCTTCGCCGGGTACGAGGTCTCCGAGGACGGCTACAAGATCGACACGAGCCTGACCAGAGCGATCGCCGAGTTCCCCACGCCTGGGAACGTCACAGATCTTCGCTCCTTCGCCGGCCTCGTCAACCAGGTAGCGTCGTTCTCGCCCCGAGTCGCTGAGCTGATGACGCCGCTCCGACCTCTGATGAGTACACGTAACGAGTTTCTGTGGCAGCACAGTCACCAGGAGGCGTTTGAGAAGGCACGAGCAGAGTTGTCATCGCCTAACGTACTTGCCTTTTACGACCCGTCTCGACCCACGTCTCTCAGTACCGATGCCAGTCGTTTACGCGGATTTGGCTTTGTCTTGTCTCAGTTGCAAGATGATGGCACATGGCGTGTTGTGCAGGCTGGATCCAGATTCTTATCTGATGCAGAGACGAGATATGCGGTCATTGAGCTTGAGTGTGCGTCTGCAGTGTGGGCCATGCAAAAATGTCGACCGTTCCTTCTCGGGATTCAGTTTGAACTCGTCTTGGATCACAAACCCCTGATCCCGATTTTCAGATCGAAGCGACTTGACGAGATTGAAAACCCTCGCCTTCAGCGTCTCCGGTTCAAGGCGTCGGAGTACAACTTCACCGCCAGCTGGCGCCGGAGTGAGGAACACCAAGCTGCCGACGCGCTGTCAAGATCGCCCGTCGACCAGGCCGTGGCGACGGATGAGGTGGCAGAGGACGCCGGCAGCCCGGCCATCAACGCGCTGATCACCAGCGCCATCTCTGACAGCAGCACGAACATAAGGATGGATGAGGTGAGGCGTATCGCTTCAATTGACTCTGAGTATCAACTGCTTGCAAAATACGTGAGGGAAGGCATGCCGAACCGCAAGCATGATTTGCCTGACTCAATCCGTGCTTTCTGGTACAAGCGTGACAGCCTGACTATTGATGACGACGTAGTCGTGTGCGGTTGTCGTCTGGTGATACCCCGTGCTATGCGCCACGATGTTCTCACCGCACTTCACGCAGCTCACCAGGGCCAGGAGAAGACCAAGGCACGTGCCCGGCTAATTGTGTATTGGCCCGGCCTGGATCGTGACATTGAAAATGTAACACGCTCGTGCCAAGCCTGTCAGAACGAATTACCGTCGCTTCCCAGGGAAACGCACCAGAGACACGCACCACCCTCACGCCCGTTCCAGATTGTGTCTGCAGACTTCGCAGAACATGGCGGGCGGAAGTTCCTCGTGGTCGTTGACCATTACTCTGGTTGGCAGCACGTCGCGGACCTGGGGAAGACGTTTACGGCAAAGCAGACCATTCGATCTGTTCAAACAATGTTCTGCTTCACAGGCGTACCTGACATCTGGTACTCCGACAACGGCCCGCAATTCGCATCGCGAGCCTTCCGCGAGTTCCTGCGCGACTGGGGAGTCGAGCATCGGACCTCCTCCCCCGGCTACCCCCAGTCCAACGGGATCGCCGAAGCTGCCGTCAAAACCACCAAGCGGATCATTCGGCGGTGCTGGGATCAGCGCTCCGCGTCCATCGACCCGGACAAGTGGACCCGCGCGATCCTTCAGTACCGCAACACGCCTACTGCTGGAGGACGATCGCCAGCTCAAGTCCTCTTCGGACGCCCTGTACAAGATGCCCTTCCCGCGCACAGACGAGCGTTCGCGGCTGAGTGGCAGCGCGCCGCCGAGATCGCCGAGACGGCCGCCGCCAAACGACAGGAGAAGGTGGAGGAGAGGTACAACGCTCACGCGAAGGATCTGCCCAACCTCAGCGTGGGAAACCAGGTGGCTGTGCAGAACCAGGTGGACAGGAGGTGGACGGCCTACGGCGTCATCGTTCGTGTCTGCCCGAACCGCAAGTACCTGATCCGTCTTCTCAGCGGAAGAGTCGTTTGTCGGAACCGACGACACATCCGCAGGCGCTACCCGCACGTCACGCCGTCCGACTTCCCGAAGGCGGACTCAGGATCCGAGACCACTGTGCCGTCGCGCTCCGGCACGCCCGTACCTCCGCAATCGGCCACGTCTGGTACGCGACAGCCGTCGCCGGCCACCGAACCAGCTGAGCGGCCGGTAGCGAATCCGCTCCGTCGCTCGAGGCGACAGATTCGTCCCCCGAGACGACTCATTGAAGAGATCTAAGACTGTCGAGTGCTCGCGTATGTTTTTATGTTTTGCGTCAAACTGTGAGCTTCGTCCGAGTGTGGACTTATGTATCTGCTAATCGCGACGAGTGTGTATTTTTGTTTCGCGCGTCTCGTGCTTCTTATTGATCTGCAGTCTTCTTTCCGCGTTGGGGGAGGTGAAGGGATTTGGTGCAGTCGTCTGCTGTTTACGTTACGTGCCAGCCCATCTGGCAGCCCTGCTGTTGACCTCAGCGCACGTTCGTAAGGTCGCCGCTAGGTGGCTCCCGAGTGGCGCCACCTCCCACCCGCCATGTTCGGCAATACACTCCTCACTGAGACGCCGGCGTGTTCGCAACACTGAGGTCAAATTTTCAAGTTGACCTTTCAAGGTCAAGTTATTGTTCATTCGATGCGTCTTGACGAGAGGAACACGATGCCGGTGAAAGATAGCTCGTACAAGGCTTGGGTCAAAAGTTATTGCAGAAAAACTGTTTTCGAAAAAAAATCAGCTATTTTTGCAGTTTTTGCCCCGTGCAGGCAAAACCGTTGACGTTGGATCAAATATGAGAGAATTACTCAGAAAGGGCGTTAATAGGGCTATCGAATGCGCTTTTCCCCAGCGCTGTAGCTCCATTGGTACCAGAGTTATGCGTTGGCTTCTTGGAAATTTTCGACATTCGACCTGGAAATCGGCGAAATTTTGCTTTCAATGACCTCTGGTGACCTGACCTTTGACCTGACCAAAAAATTGACCGAAGTGATTTCGTCATTATTTTTTACGCTCATTCGAAGCCGCCTTCCGCAGCACCAGTCCTGCGTCGTTTTTGCTCGATAAGCCGAGGTGCCGACCTGCTGAAAGATGGCCCTGGACATGTTCAGCAGAAGTTTTCAGCTGGAGACGTGGCTTGGTGGGCTTCAGCTTAAGAGACAACCTCAGGTACCGATGACTTGTCGACTTGGAAACTGGATGACCGTTAGCAGTCAGCCTGCTTGCCAGTTTCCTTTTGGATTTGCCAGTCTTAAAGCTCCACACTTCGCGATAATGATCTGCGCTACCCGACTGGCGGAAATCTTCCTGTCGCGACCTAGCTTGTTCTCAGGCGTCTATCCGCTTCTGTCACGTGACAACCAGCGCCAAATCGTGCGGTAACTCATACCCAGTGCCTCGGCGACCTGGCTGTGGGCCATGCCGCCTGCAACTATGCCGACTGCCCCGTTGCAAGACAATTTGCTGTGCAGTTTTGCCATCCCGAACACCTGGTCCGCTCGCCCTGGCTACTGCCCCGAAAATAGCCTCCCTTAACCACTTGACCAGTCAGGGCCACAAAAATTCCGAAGGTCACGTGACTAGAATGCAGCCAATATGGTCTCTAGGAGTAAATAACGCCGAAATTATTGAAATTACGCCGCATTAGGCAAAATAAAGGTTGTGGGAGGATCTGACATTGATTTTGGGTCACCGTGTATTATATCTTTAGCACTGAAAACATTACCGATCATGAGTGGCGGGCGTTGGAGGATGGGGCGGGGGAGGCGAGGGGGGTTCGGGGCCGGGATAGGGGGTTGCAGGGAGAAAGGGGAGTTGGAGAGGGGGGCCGAGCTTGACGAGGTATGGCGCTCAGATTTGAGATAGGTTGGTTACAGAATTCCACAAAATAGGTACTGAAATATTATCGATCATGGCAGCGTCATTGCCGCGCTGCAGGCCTCCGGTCTGGCCCCGCTGATCGACTCAGCACTCGAGAGTCCGCGCCGCCGCGGAGCGCGACCACGAGTACCGGGCTCTCAGCGAGGTGATTCTCGCCGGATTCCCAGAGAACCGGCACGAGGCGCCCCCGGCAGTGCGAGCTTACTGGGGAGTGCGCCATCAGCTCGCCATCGACGACGGGCTGGTGGTATACGGCGCTCGGCTGGTCGTCCCATCCGACCTCCGGCGCGGCGTGCTGGAGAAACTCCATGATTCACACCAGGGCGTCGACCGCACCAAGCGCCGTGCCCGGCTCAGTGTGACGTGTGTACTGGCCGAGCATAGACAAACAGATCGCTGACACCGTCGCCGCCTGCGCTCAGTGCCGTCAGCGCCTGCCCAGTCACGCTCGGGAGCCGATGTGTCGGGAGGACGGCGCACCGACGCGCGTCTTCGAGTCAGTCTCGGCCGACTACTTCTCCGCTGGAGGACACACGTACCTGGTGTACAGTATGTCTAAAATTATGTCCCCTGGTTTGGCTCTCCCACAGGAGGCGAATCGGTAACTTGGCTGAATCCCAGTTGCGGCACCCGGCCGCCAGGGTCGCACCCGCGCGAGCGGCCTTGACCGCTCGCATGTCATTGGCAGTTCGGTCCCTCCCCATCTATACAGAGGTGGGGAGGGGAGAAGAGGGGAAGAGAGGGGAGGGAGCGGCATCTGCTCGGCACTGGGCGATACCTGGCTGACCCCGCGGCGTGTTTCTTTTTTCCAACCAAAGGAAGGCGCTATACCCGAAGATGCTTCTTGGTAAACAAACCAAACAAAAACAAACATAACCTAACCTCACCTGACCTAACCTACAACCTACAAACCTACAACCTACAACCTAACCTACAACCTAACCTACAGACCTACAACCTACAAACCTACAACCTACAAAACTACAACCTAACCTACAACGCGCCAAAAAGTTCGGCCGGCGGCGGGGATCGAACCCTAGTTATTAGATTACGAGGCGAGTGTGCTCACCACTACACCACGCAGCCAGCTGGCCGGTGAGAGGTGTAAGTCACTTTTCAATGACGCAATGGGATATTCTCCGTATAGCGCCTTCCTTTGGGTGGAAAAAAGAATTACGCGACCCCGCGCTCCCTCGCTGACCTCCGCAGTGGCGCGGGAACTTCTTCCAGACTGGGGGGCTGAACCATAATAGAAATCAACCTAGGGTACCCCCAAATCTAGTTTTCTCACCGGTTTTAGGCCACTTATTTTTCAGACCTTGGCCTTTTCAAAAAAAAAAAAAAAAACACGAAAATATTTTCAAAAAGTGAGGCACTCCGTCTCAGCTGAGTGAAGAAACTACCGTTTTGGCAACCTGGAGTAAAGGTTTTAATCTGCCAAATGAGTTGCCGAGCCAGTGAAATAGGTGGATTTTTCACTTACATGCTTTCTTCCTTTGTGACCCACAACCCCTAATTTGGGGAGGACAAGCTGCCCAACGGTTCCTGGCCTCATGAAAAGTTGTGGGGCAACGCCCCCACGGCCGCAGAGTTGTGGGGGCAAGCTTCCCCCACTGCCCCTCCCCCGTTTCCCACGCCCATGTATGAATCTATGAAATTATGTTGGTAGATTTCCGATTTCGATTCCTCCAGCTGGGGGGGCTCAAATACATTACGAGCCCCCCAGCCGAAAAGCTGGGGGGGGGGCTCAGCCCCCGCTAGCCCCCCCGGTTCCCGCGCCACTGGACCTCCGTCCTGCCCTCAGGCGAAGACCGACTTCCTCGGCCCGTAGCGGCCGAGCGGAAAACCGAGCTCGCAGGGCGGGACTCCATTGGCCCAATCTTATAAATGGAATGCTGTCGTATTCACGGCATTAAATAATATTACTAGTGATACCAGCAGTGGATGTCGTAAAATACAGTCCAAAACAAACGAAAGCACACGATTGACGCATAATGCGCCCTCCCATTCAAATAAGCCCGCCCACTTCATTAGATGGTGTAGTTTCAATTCTTAGGGCGTAAAAGATGCAAAACACTACCAAACTTTTTTAGCTCGGCCACTGGGACCGTCAATATACAATTGACTGAAATGCATGAAAACCATTTTGCATTTAATAGCCGTTTCCTGCACCCAAACTTTAGCCAGTGACGCCCTGTCCATTCTAAAGCGTTTATAAGATTGGTCCCAGCACCCGATTTTATATGAGGAAGTCGTTTAAAAAGTATCTTATCTCTAACCAATTTATTTATTATGGCCACTTTTACAGGACGTCTATAGAGCTTTGACTTTTACATTTCTTCCTCGTTCAGGAGCAACGTTTAAACCCTCACCGGACCTTCAGGTTTTCTGAATACCGAGGGGGCGTTGGGGGGTTGGAAAAGAGGGAACAACCCCATTTGCCGATTCGCCCCTTAACCCGCGCGGGGCTGGGGGGGGGGTAAATTTTACCCCCCCTCGCGAATTTTTGCGATATCTCAAAAACGGCGGCGCGCAGCGCCGCCAAACTTTCAGTACCTTTTCTTACATCAATTTGACACGCTCCCTGAAAATTTGAACGAAATCCGTCGGAAATTTTTTTGAGAAATTGACGTTTTAGTGACGTCATGTTCGTCATTTTCGCCTCCAAAACGGCAAAAGTTCAAACGCCGCTAACATCTTCATTTTTAAAGGAATCAAGACGTAACAAAAAAGGTTATACGTAATTTTACTTTGTCTATCAAATGGCTATCTCGGTTTTTTGAAAATTTTGGATTTTGGCCTAATTTTTTTCAAAAAACTGACTTTTTTGGGAAAACCATTATATAATCCAAAATTTTGATTCTATCGAAAAAAAAACGGAATATATGTCAGAGAAGTGGTCTATGTGCACCTACATACCAAATTTTAGAAGAATCGGTTCAAAAATGTGGGAGTTATTCAAAATTTTATGACGTCACGACACACAATTTTTTTGAAAAATGACTTTTTTGGAAGTTCTAGACCTCGTACGGAAACAAAAATAGCACCATTCGATTCGCCGTGAAAAACTGCATCAGTTAGACACCTTTTTAGGCCTTAACAACCAACTTCAAAATTTGACCTCACTTGACCTGACCTTGACCTGACCTCGACCTGAAATTCATCCAGAGGTGGTCCATATCACTTATTGAGTGTGCCTATTGAATTCTATGAGTAAAATGACCCATAAAACATGTGTCGCACATGCCCTTTTCTATATTTCATTTTTTGGTGACCTGACCTGACCTGACCTTGACCTTGACCTCTGAATGATATTGTATGCAACGAATATTGTCTTGGTAGCCTAAGAACACGTTTTGGGCGATCAGTCTCAGTCCATGACTCCATTCTTCGGCAACTACGGTGCAAGGCCGATACTGTAGAAACTTGCAATTTGTACCCTTGACCTGACCTTGACCTTGACCTCAAACTTTAAATTA